AAGAAATTTGACTGGCAGGATCTAGGAAGAAGTTCTTTGCCACTGTTGTACCTGCCTTTTGGCACACCTTATCCCCATAGGAGAGTGGAGCTTCTGGTTTTGCAGAAAAGTGTTAAGATCTGGCTTTGCCAGTTAGCATGAGGGTTGAGGAGTGCTTTGCAATCCTGGGAATGGCTGGTGGCTTGAGGGTGCACACTGCAGCTCGTTAACCTTTTAGCCTTGTTAACTTTATAACTTTGATTCTTTTTAATTTTTAACTTTGTTTTTTATTTTTGTTTTTAAATGTATTGTTTGCAATACAAAAAATTGCCGAGTCACTTAGGTGAGATGGGTGGTATGGAAATCTAATAAATAAATGAATAATGGAAACTAAAATAACAAAAAGAAAAAAAATATGTGCAGAAAAGAAAAAACAAACAGTAAAAATAGAAAAGAAAAATAATACAGTAAAAAAAAGAAATAAATAGAATTATTCAGCCTTTATCACAACAGATATAAACAATTTTAGTTACATTTTCATCTTGAACAAATAAATCTACTTTAGTCCTTTCAAATAATGTTCTAAAACTTGATTTATTTTCATTTGTTCTTTGTAAAAATCTGCAAAGCTTTAACAAGCCTCTTTTGTAAAACCAATATAGAAAAATTATTCACATTATCCAAATTATCCTGTTGTTTATATAATCCCTTTCAATTATCAAGACATCCATTTCTTTTTTATGTTCACTGTATCATCTTTTTCCATATTCTTTTAGCTTATTATTTTTAAATCCACTTTAAATCCAATTCTAAATCCAGATCAGTCCTGGTCTTGCCTAATAAAACCTGTTCCTCTTCCATAGCATCTTTTAGACCCAATCCATCAATCAAGGCCAACATTCTTAAAATTAAGTTCTGGGTCCATTGTACAAAAATATCCTTCAATATTTCAAATGTTAAAATATTTTATTCCATTCAGTTTTAGTAAGTTTGTAATTTTATAAAATCAAAATTTTAATCAACATTGTTGTTAGTTTAATGAAAAGAAGGACTAGGAGCAACATGACAGCAGTGTTCTATATCTAAGGGGCTGTGACAAAGAAGCGGGTCAACCTATTCTCCAAAGCACCTAAAGGCAGAACAAGAAGTAATGGATGGAAAGTAATCAATGAGAGAACCAACCTAGGAATAAGGAAAAATTTTCTGACAGGTTTTTAAGAAGAATTTGGACAACCATCTGTCTGAAATGGTGTGTGGTCTCCTGCTTGAGCAGGGGATTGGACTATAAGACCTCCAATATACATTCCAACTCTGTTTTCTGTTAATTCCAGAAAAAAATAATTCCTTACACTTGTAATTAAAACTTCATCAGTAAGGGTTGAGGGAAAATCACGCAGTTCTCTAAAACATCAATCCAAAGATTGCTAATGGCTGAAAAGCAGTCAGCGGTTCCAAATATGATTACAAAAGGAAGTATGCAAACCCAGGGTCCTTAAGGGTGTTGACTGTGGGTTGAACAAGATAGCTATTTTCTCATCTCCCAGGGCTCTAAACCTGCTGGAGACCACTGTCTTGCAGTTTCCTCATGAGGGACAACAGTATGGAGTACTTGTGAATGAGTGCAATCCTCTCCTTGTCCAGAGACAAATTACAAAGAGCCAGTCTATCACTGATTCTTCATGTGACAATCTTCAGTTTGCCATTTCCTCCCCAGAAGTCCCCTATTTTGACATATGGGGTGGGACTATAACTCCCAGAAATCATAGTCAGCATGGATAAAGGACAGATGGACTGGGAATTCTGAATGTGCTAGTCCCACCACATCTGGAAAGCACCAGGTTGTGAAAAGATGGCTTAGCATATGCCTAGTATACAACACTCAAGTTGGATCTCCTATGGTATCAAGATTCATTTTGCATTTTGGCACATATCATTGTGGAAATCTGAGCCAGCTGCATTGTACTGGGTTTGACTACACTGAATTCTCAGTAGTATTACTAAACAAGACAGAAAAAGTCTCAAAGTCTTGCTGTAATCCTTCAGTTTGCTTTGTTATCCTTGGATTTAAATACTGGCCTAGCTTTGAATTACTCTTTGCTTTCTTTAACTATGTCAAGGCAACCTTGGGCTATATTCAGTTGTATATTAGTTTTTAGTTCTGGATTTGTGATATCTGAGATACAAAATCTCAATCAGCCAGGCAAAAATAGATAGCCATAGGTAGCCACAAAGCTTAACCAATATGTAGTCTATACTGCCTACTATATGGTAATGTAACATAACTTCTAAACTATAAAACTGATCATATGTCTTTCTCTTGACTAGATATATTTCTTGCAAGTATTCTAGATTTTTTACCATGCCAGTTCTGGAAGAAATGTTATTTCCCATGTATAGCCCTCAATACATCAGTTTCAGAATGATGAAATGAATGTAGATTGGTTTACAGTGTGTTCGTGTTTGATGAAAAAATAGGTTTCTAACAAAGACACCTAATTCTGATGCTGATCTGCTAAACCCACATCAAGATAGAATTTATCTGAATATATTGCGTTTTGCCATTACTTTATCTCTGGGGATCACACTTTGCTTTCTCAAACAGCTGTTGCAAGGAAGCCCAGAATTTTATATATTTACTATAAAGATTAGCCTCCAAAACTCTTGGTCTGCATCCAAAATGAGGGAAAGGTTTTTCATATTTGGAGTCTATACATGAACCCCTCAAACACATTCTTGAGCTGCAAGTAGTTTCCTTTCATGCACCATTTCTGTCCTTGTGCTTTTGAACTTTAAAAACATTTGGCTTTCTTGGTTTTATAATAAAGACCAGTTGACCATCTGATTTCATTTGATAACATCCAATTTTACCATCTGTTCAAACTTAACTTTTGCTTTCTCTCTCATCAGCTGTGGAACTTTACATGGCACATATACTTTTGTGAAAATGTTGGAACCTATAAAGCTGCTATATTTTTCTTTGCCCTACATAGTTTGCCAGTAAAAGCTATCATCCTAATATTTCTGGTAGGATACTTTTCATTGCAACTATTTTAGTAAAGACTGTGTGTCAACCTTTAACACATTTATTTGTCATCCATGAATATATTTCATATTTTAAAATAGCCTTATATAAGCATGCCAGTTGAATATTTATCAAAGAGATTCATGGGGTCAGATCTAAACTTGCTCCTCCATAAATAGAGCTGTTTCTCCTCTACTTGGAGAAACCAAGTTGCAATGGAAACTTTCTAATGAATGAAGGAAGACTTTGGGTTTTGCAGATCGAGTCACCTATGTCCTCTTTTCTTCAACACATTTCTGCCTAAGTTGCACCAAAGAGTCCCAACCAGCTAGATAGAAGACTAACAGAGAGGGCAATGACAATTTAGGCATTGACAAATATTGCCACTCCATCTGTTCAGAGTAACCAGAGCTCCAGAATGTGTCTGAGCATTTTGTTCTTTGTTTTATACCAGTTATTTTCAAAGTGAGTTTTCCAGTACTGTGAGATTCTGTGGGTGAATTCTAGGCATTTGTTTTTTTCCAAATCAGATCTTTACTATATTTAGTTCAATACTGATTGCTAGATGGAATGCAAATGCTTTTTACTTTCAAGCAAGTGTTTACCCAGGTAACTACAAACCTGGAAATTTGGGGATAGATTTGCATAACTCAGATGAGGTAGTTTGTGACTCAGCATGTTGTGATAATTCAGCCGTTGTCTTAGTATATTATGTGAGCCAGACCATTATTGTAAACCACAATACTTTTTTTTTATTTATTTGGACAAATATTATGTGAATAAAGCAATTGTTTTATAAACATATCTGTAGATCAAGGAAGTTATGTGAATTACCTTCAACTACAGTCCAAACTGGGCTAAATAATATATAATAATAAATAAAGTCACTTGTCTTATGCCACAAGTAGCTCTATAAATTTGAAAAATACATAAATACCACGTGACAAAACATTAATGATTCCATTAGGGGCTGTATTGGGAGCAGATTATCAGAGGCTTCTGGCTCAAACACAGATACTTTTCAGGAAAGCTCTGCGGTAGTGAAAACATTTATAGAATCAGTGGAAGCAATCATTTGTAAGGTTATCATGATATATCTATTTATAAAACAAATATGTGCAAAAGATCTATATACAAGCATAGAGCTGGGGTGGCACAGTGGTTAGAATGCAGAATTGCTACTTCTGCTGCCTGCCGGCTGCCTGCAATTCAGCATTTCAATTTTCACTGGCTCAAGATTAACTCATCCTTCCATCCTTCCGAGGTCGGTAAAATGAGGAGCCAGATTGTTGGGGGCAATATGCTGACTCTGTAAACCACTTAGAAATGGCTTCAAAGCACTATGAAGTGATATGTAAGTCTATTGCTATATTCATGGAGTAGCTAGTTTCAGGTGGTCTGTCCAGGCACTGATCAGAAAAATGTTCCAAGCTGAAGGGGTTTTTGGGGGTGGGGGGTGGGGGGGAGATGGAAAAACATAATATTGGTAGGTGTATCTAAAGGAGTTAGGAAGGAACTGGTAAATTCGGCAGGATACCACTTGGTTATGTCTTGCTTGAAGTCAAAATCATTGGTGATGGTTAAGGGAATTATAAACAGGATGTAATTTGGGATGATTGGGGTTTTGATATACAGGTTATGCAGAGGAGGGCAAAAAGGCATAAGGCACATTAGCATTGCCTTCTAACCCCAAAAAATACCTCCACGTTTTTAAAAATCCAGATTCTGCCATCTATAGCCCATCTGCAGAACTTCGTGAAATATGCTTATTTTGGATTTCAAAATAAATATATGTTCAATGTTGTGTATACCTCTTTAACAAATGTATATATAACGTTTCATCAGAAGTATTGCAAATACGCAGATTTTAAAAAGTGTTTCACAGACAAGTATAAAATCAGTTGAAAACAATAGCCCAAAGGACAATAGTTATAAACTATTCTAAATCATAATCTGTTACTTGATCCTTTTAATCAGAGATGGGGATAGAATTTGAATCTTGGAACTTCTGATTAATGTGTTTATTTTACTTAGGCACACTTATCAACTTTTAGATAAATATTTTTTAGGAAAATACATAATGAATTTCAGAAGAATAACAGCATTGTTTTGGACCATGGTTTGAAAAACATAAGATTTTCAAATATTCCTACTGCAACATATGAGACCTAGAGTCAGAAGAGCTTAGGGTGGGTTCCTTTGTTTTTACTATCCTTTGGAATAAAAGTGTCTTTATCCTAAAAGGAAAATAGAAAGGAAATGTGTTCAACATATGGCATCCAAGACCATTTGATATTTTAAATCTATAGTAAATGTCATGAACAATTTTACTACCTTCTCTGCATTATATGCTTGGATCATTTGTCTTTCAAAGGACTAGTAAACCTTAATTTACTTTAGCAGTTCTCAGTGGATTTTTATTGTTTCTTACTGCTGCCTCTCAATTCATATAATTTGTAAAACTAAATATGAACTGCTAAACTCCATCAATCCAGTAGTATTCTTTTAATACCAATTTTTACATAATTAGCCTCCAAACTCTTCAATTACTGACAATTAATCTCATATATTGGGAAAGACAAGTTCATTTCATAGTGAAGAGAACCTAAAAAAGGAATCTTACCTTTCTGTTAGAAAAATACATTGTGATACACTGAAAAAACCAGAGTGTGTCTAAAGAAGACCAATAATCAAAATATTGTAGTGTGGAGACCATAAACAAAGCCCCACAAAAACCTGATGAAAGACTGAAGATGTTTGATTTGGAAATCAATGCCACAAAAAATTATTACACTTTTGTAAGGAAAAAAAAACCCTGCAGGGATATGTCCTTGAAGTCACAGGGGGGCAAACTCAGCTCAAAAGAGGTACCTTGTACAGGTAACATACTAGCCTAAGTTCAGGGTTATCAGTGGTGGGCTGCTACTGGTTCTCCCCAGTTCTTGCAAACCAGTAGTGGAAATTTTGAATAGTTCAGAGAACCGGTAAATACCACCTCTGCCTGCCCCCCCCCCATGTTGCCTCCCAAGTCCCAGCTGATCGACTAGAAGGAAAAAATCAGGGCTCACTTGACAAAGAAGAGAAAAAACAACAACAAGACACCTTAGCTTTAAATTGAGAAGACAAAAAGCCTCCAAACCGATCTGCTATTTGTAAACCGCTCAGTGGTGGTAGATTGGCAATTGAGGCCAAACTGCCTAAAAACGGTTTCTGATGCTCTCGGTAGTGGCAGAGCGGTAAAAAACTGTTTAAACTCTTGCCACAGGGCTTCAAAGGGCCACCCTACAGCTGATCAGCATAAAAGGCAGTGTGGTGGTAGACCAGTGTGCTCCAAAAACAAATGGCTTGACTGGTATGGCTCTGCAAGCAGTTAAAAGCCTGGTAGACTAGTACCTCTGCTAAATCCTAAAGAATTGTTTGTCACATGACCATCAAACCATGCCCACAAAATAAGCCACGCCCACAGAACCGGTAGTAAAAAAATTTAGAACCCACCCCTGAGGGTTATGTATGTGGAAGAGGCACTGTATCTAAAATCAACAGGATAATCATGATGATCCAAGGTGTTTTTCTCTAACAAAAGCAACTGGCTAAAAATAATGATGTATACCATATTAATATAGAATCCATTTGTATACTGTTATAGGATACATATCTTTCCTATATATCATTCTAATAAATTCTATATATCCCTTCCTGAAATACTCCTGAGTGCCAGGATCTGGATACCTTTAAAAGTAATTCACTATGAGGGTTTGAATCTTATAGAAGAAACAGATCTAGCTATGTATATCTACTGATTTCCAATAAGGATGAAACCAGCCTTCTCATAATCAATATGGTTGGTACTACCTATGTTTTCCGGGAAATAAGACCCTGTCTTATATTTTTTTGAACCCCAAAATAAGCGCTTGGCCTTATTTTCGGGGAAGTCCTATTGTTTTGGGGCACATGGAGCAAGATGGGGCTCCTCTTGCTGTCTTACCTGATTTTCAGCTCTGCATTTAAATATTTTCAGGGAGGGCTTATTTTGGGGGGGAGGCTTATTTTAGCGTATGCACTCAAAAACCCGATTGGGCTTATTATCAGGAGATGTCTTATTTTCAGGAAAACAGGGTAATTTGAGGTGAATTTACAGTAAGTCACACACTATCTATTTCCAAAGGGACTCGGTGGCTCAGTGGCTAAGACTCTGAGCTTGTCTATTGAAAGGTCGGCAGTTCAGCAGTTCAAATCCCTAGTGCTGCGTAACAGGGTGAGTTCCGGTTACTTGTCCCAGCTTCTGCCAACCTAGCAGTTCAAAAGCACGTAAAAAATGCAAGTAGAAAAATAGGGACCACCTTTGGTGGGAAGGTAACAGCGTTCCGTGCACCTTTGGCGTTTAGTTATGCCGGCCACATGACCACGGAGATGTCTTTGGACAACGCTGGCTCTTCGGCTTTGAAACGGAGATGAGCACCAAATAGCACATATGTGCAAGGGGAATCTTTACCTTCACCGTTACCTACTTCCAATGGAGGGAGGTGGTCTTGTGACCAATGTAGGCAACAGATGCCCAACCCGTTCTTTGCCTCCCAGTCTCACTTATTCCTTAGGAATATTTGTAAACCATTGTACTTCAGTTACTCAGTTATGTAGGAAGTAGCCATCCATATTCATTTATGAATTTAATGAATAACAGGGTGCCAATTTGATAACAGGATACCAATTCTGGGATGGGGAAAAAGCCCAACATTACAAACCTCTTTGCACTAGGAGAATTCCCTTAATGTTTACATCCAGATACAGATATACTCTTGAGCAAATGAATTCCACACAGCTGGAGATTAGATAAAATGTACCTCAAGTCTACTTTAAGAATTCACACTTCCACTTCAATCCTTGGTCTGTAACATTTTGCATAAACTTGCACAGAAATTGTCTGGGTTTTGTTGGCTTTTGTGAGATCAGACCATTGAAAACCCTCCATTTCAGGCAGGGCATCTCACCTTGCCATACTTCGGCTGAAATTAGGTCAATTATTGGCATTTGTATATAAGGTTATTTGTCTTTACTGAGAGTAGGCGATTCAAATTCAAGTAGAAATATGCTTGTTTCTTGCATAATAATATTAAGTCTCCAGTGAGCAGTATGTTTTTTCCATACTCCTCAAACACACAGTAGAAGACAACAATAAGGAAATATATAAGCAAATGTGCTGCGATGCATATATCCTAAGTATGCACATAAAACTGGAGAAGTTCAAGGGAATATGAGGAAAAAAAAACTGTCATGTACTTTAAATACTGAATGAGTAAAATATAACATTGCTCTACAATCTCATCATTGACTTGTGATCTGATGTGTCATAAGGAACCTTAAAGCAGCTATCTTCATAAGCTTTGCTCTCTTACACCTGTGCAGGTGCACATAATTATTAGCAGTGTGGCAAGAGGCCTATTTACAATAAATTGTGGTTCCAAATGGTTCTCTTCACTCTGTCAAAAAGATATACAGTAATAAGGTAGGATTGCTGAGATATAAAAATATGCAGAAACAAAAGGCATTTCTTAAGTAAAATAGATTCATTAACTTGGGGGGCGGGATTTCTGCCTCTTTTTGAAATTCTGCTGTGATTTAAATAAAGTTTTTTTGAGCTCAGCCCAAAGGCCCATTTAACCTGGAATCCAGTCATATGCAAGACATATGCTTCCTCCAAAAATGCTTTCTTAAGAAACGAACCAAATGGTACCAACTTTCTGCTCCCCTTGGAAGACTCAATAGCTATATTTGTTATGGCTAATAGGAGCTAAAATCCAAACCATCTTTAGGCAACCATTTGGAAAGGCTGGTCTTCATCAACATTTTAATTTTTTGTATACATAGTGAACAATAGATAGGTCAATATCAAAACCTAGAGAGCTGTTCTTAAGGCTGCAGAGGATATGCTGATTTGGATGGAGTTGCAATTTCCTTTAAGTATTAAACGTGCAGCTGCCTGAATAGCACTTATGCTGGACAGCCATATTCCAACATTGAAAAGGGACATTTATTAGCTTTGACTTGAAAACAAGCTGTGTCCATCCTTGGAGGTGAGATACCTGACACTTCAGTATAATGCAGCTGGCTGTAATTCCTTTCTTAGCACCTATAGCAAGGATTTTCCTTGTGTGATGGGGGCGCTGCATTGAGATTTCTGCTTGCAATGTTTGATCAAAAACAGGAAATGTTTTCAGTTGATGCTAGTCAGGGATGCCAGCGTCAGTTAGAAAATTAGATGCTGTTTGTCAGAAAGACACAATATTCCTCCCCTGTAGGTGGTCTATGTTTCATTAGGCTTCAGATTGATGGCACCAAACAGTAATCCAAAAATGTGCAGTGGGTACATCCACCTCATTTTTCATTAACAGTGTTTCCCAAACACACTAGAAGCAAAACTATAGATTTTGTACAGCTTATTTTTATCCTTGAAGACTCTATTGATTATCCAACATCACTGTTGGATGCTTGCTGTTTCTGTTAAAGATGTCTGGTACATAACTAGTGGCGACTAGCTTTTTGCACAGTCTAGCCATTTGAGCATATTGTGCAAGAGAGGGGAAAGTAGTAAAACTGATTTTAAAAACCTCTGTTTTTTTTGAAAAAAATAAATGAGCTAGGAGATTGTATAATTACTTCAAATTATTTATTTATTTGTTTGTTTGTTTATTTGTTCAACTTATATGCCGCCTTTCTTCGAAGACTCAAGGCGGCTTAGAGAATTAGAGAATTCACCCCAGTTGAATGTATCAATAGTATGCAAGACAGATTATTTTATTAAAAGTTTCATTGAAAATCACACAAATATGACATGTTTTCTTTCTCTCTGTGTGTATGTATGGAATAGATTGACATGATATAGCAATAGCACTTGTACTCATACCTCTTCATAGTGCTTTTACAGCCCTCTCTAAGTGGTTTTACAGAGTCAGTATATTGCCCCCTATCTGGGTCCTCATTTTACTGACCTAGGAAGGATGGAAGGCTGAGTTACCCTTGAGCCAGTCAGGATCAAACTGCTGGCAGTTGGTAGAATTAGCCTGCAATTCTATAGAATACTGCATTCTAACCACTGCACCACCATGCCTCTCTCTTATGGCTATATTACCCATAATATGAAGCTTCCAAGCTTTCTAGGCACTATAAGGTGGCAACACTAGGGCAGGGGAGGAAGAGGAAGGACAGATTATTTTTTAAAAAAATTCTGCTTTAGCATACTTAAAGAACTCCTGAGTATTTCACCCTATGATTTCAGACACAAGATTTCTTGGACCTTGTGAACAAATCTCAGTAGTTCACAAAGATAAAAAATATCCAATTAAATACCCAATTACCACATCCAAAAATCGCATTAAAAATAAAGGATAAAATGCAAAATATAAAAATAAAAGCACTCCATAAATCAAACCTATGTATCATGGCCCAAATATTGTTGAGAAGATCATAGCTTTGAGCAACATCCAGAAAGCAGTCCAAGTGAGAACAACTGAGAGGCCATTTCATGGGACCAATGTTTGTCCTTGAAAACCAGTCCTTCTAAGCTTCCCTAAAGCAAGGAACTACTTGCAGCTTCTCCTAAATAAATCAGATTGGCTGCACTGATTTCAATGGGAAAATGTTAAGATAATTTGACACTACAGTTTATTGGGCTTAATAGGTCAACACCAGGACTTTAAATTGCACCCAGAAACCTACTGATGACCAATGCAAAGTCCACAGCACTGGTGTAATTGGGCTAGAACCAACTGCAGTTTCCAAGTGGTCTCCTAAGGCAGAAGCATCTAGAGTATGTTGCAGCAAACTAAATTGCAGCAGACTATTATGAGAGCATAGGTTATTGTAGCAAGGCCCTTTTGTTCCAAGTAGGATTGAAACTGATGCACCACCATAGCTGGGCAAAGAT